AAAAGTGGGGTAGGTCAAAGCCGGGCGAGTTTCTTTTCTGCATTAAATTTGGGAGTGCTACTTGAACTTTCAGAGCGTCCATTATTATATCCCTGCTTATTCCAAAATCAATATTTAAAGTCTTAACAGTTTTATATTTAATTTCCGGCCAACCTGCTGTTTTATTTTTAAAACACCACATTCTGAAAATGCTCCAAAGAAAAATGTTGCGGTTAGCTGAAATAAATTGCCAGCAACTGCTAAAAGAAAAGAATAATTAGACGAATTTCATCCTTTACACTATCTACTTAAATATTATTAGTTCTATCAGCTCTCTTCAACTAATATTTTCCACTGGAGTTAATAAATTGATTGCAAAACTATTACAAAGATTTCTTCACAGTAATGTAATAAACTACTTCAATCTAAGAGTAAATTATTTTTTTTACAAGTGTATTGAACCGCACTGCTCCAGTTCTTACGCCAAAAGGTCTTGTAACAATGTTAGCTTGATTGCTTCGTCCCTCACTGAGTGCATTCCGTCCGATTTTTAGACATTAAAGATGGGTTCATTATTTTCATTTATGAAATTGAAAATGCTTATAAAATACGAATAGAAACTAGAGGTGCTCTAATGACTTGGAGAAATAATAGTTTGTCTCACATGTCCATGATTAATTTATAATTAGCTCAATTAGGAGTGAATAACCAGCAGAATTCCAATGAGTGACCGATCTAGAAAGTTAAAAAAAAGTCTTATTTTGTTTATCCAGACTTAACATACATGTACATTTATGATTGGTTAAATCTCTTAATTATATGCAATAAAAACATAATATGATTAAGAATACATGATAGTTCATTATAAACACAATTTAATCAAATACAGTTTGCTTAATTTTATTCTTAAAAAATAAGGGAACCCATCTTTAAGTTCTTTATATTTTAGTAGTATATATTAGTATTTTATTTTATAAAAAAATTGTTAATTAATAGACTTTCAGATCATAAAATGAAATGAATGGAGTTTTACGTCTTTATTTTCTTAATGTAATGCGCACATCCTGTAGATTTATTGTCCCATATTGCTCTACATATAATGCATTAACCACCAACTTTAGAGTGAAATATTTTGTTATTTTTTATTTACTGGATTATGGTTATAGATTGGCAGATCGATTGCAATTATATTCATAGTTATGGACTTCAGAAGGAAAAAAACTTGAGTTTGTAACATTGCAAACGAGAATGCACAGTACAGATTCAAATAATATCAAAGCTCAGTTATCGAATCGATGTAGATATGTCAAAATTAAGCACGGCTTCCGGCGTGTTTTATCACACATGTATAATTATGTTTCAAATGGCGCTTGGAAATTTAGAACCGATGTCTCTGTCCTGGCAGCTCCAAACACTCCAATGCCACAAACGGTTGTCCGCTACACGCAGGCGTACATATTATGTACATAATTAACCATGCTTAAAGACATAATTCAGCCAATGACTGTCGGGAAATACCTTTTCTAGGAATACCATGACGTCATTCTTGCTATTTCAAAATCGATGAGCGCAAACTTTTCAGTCCGTGGTACGCGAAGACCTTTGAGTATACGCAATACGGATAGCGGATAAAGCAGGTGGAGCAATTCACGCTTACGGATACGTACTACGCTTGCGTAACTACGGACAAAGGATTCTGGGCCTAACTGTAATGATCAATCTTTAGATTTTAACAGAAAATTTGAACATTAAACAATTCGCGACTAAAAGTTTGACGATGTCTCTGTAGGTTTGTCGGTGCCTCATTTAAATAGGATGTCAATATTTTATAATAGAATAAGAATTGTTTCTTCCGGAGATTTTAAAATCAAATTGGATGAATATTAGGCTTCATGAAATCCATTAACCTTCTGACCGAAATATTGATGTTTAAACTACAAATAACTACTCTAGCATTCTGATTTATTTACAAAGCAATCTGATTATTTTTCACTTTTCATCGTAAATTGACTAATAAATTTACTTGTGGAAGTTGTTAAAAGTCATTACTACTGTAGATTGGATAACCAAACACAAGCCAACCCTGAAATTTTATAGCTTTATACGAAGCTTTCTAGGATTTCTGAACATTATTTGGTAGAATGTAAAGCTATGTAACGTCACTCTCAAGTTTCACGACTATGATCATATATTATATTATATGTGACGTGTGCCATAAATATGGCTTTGAACAGTAGTGGCACGGTTGGATTACACTAGAAAAATGGTTTGTACCCCTATGATTTTAAACGTTTTTGCCCCAAAATATGTGCGACTATAACGCCTCCACAGTTGTCCCCCATTTTGTCAATCTGTCCCTAACTCGTACCTCTAGTCTCGAGAGGAGGGCGCCTCTTCTGGATTGAGACATATTTTTTTAACATTTGCTAAAATGTACTTCAAGTAGAATAGCATATCCTCGTCAATTCTTGTTCTATTCTTCATAGTGCAATATGATAATATCAACAACAATACCTGAACCACCTTCGTTAAAGCCACGACCCTTATCATAGACAGATGAGATGGTTGTTACCCTTATGCAAATAGCTTAGTATGAAGCGGTGAACTATGAGCAATAAAAACGACCTTTTTTATATGAGAGGGATTGTATGTATTCATATCAATTCGAGAGTTTCGTGCGCGTGTTTATATATTTACAAAACAAAACGTAAATACCACGTAGCATTATGTATTTTTATAATCTTGATCCCTAAAACGGGATTTACCTGCTAAAGGGAAACACGATAGAAATATGTAATACGAGTTACAGAGATTATTATAAATGCACTTTAATGTCAAATCCACTTGCACACTTTTCTTTCATTACAGAAAACCCAGTTTTCCGAATTTTGTTGTGAAAAAGACATCTTTATTGTATTTCTACATTGGTGACAGCATATAATGTTATACAACTTCATCCTTTAAAACGCCATTGTCAAGTCTCTTTTCATTTAAATATTTAATTTGATGCTTTAACTGCAAATGATTTCTTAGAATGCCTTCAAGGTGTATTCACATTCCATTATCCTCCGTTCACCTCATCTATTTAACTGTGTTGAGGAACAATTTGTTTCATTCCAGTAAGTTTATTGAGCGAAAAATGCTGGTTAACTATTCACTGACGAATTCTGTTAAATTCACCCAGGAATAGAATGCAGATCTTTGTCTTTCAAGAATAAGACGATGTTATATGTAGTTAGAAATCGTGTAGATGAAGATGTCTATTGCGAGACCGGCGGTTAGCAAGCATCAGGTGATGATAATGTATTTCAAGATAATTGTTGGTATGTATAAGGCAATGACGTTGTTTGTCAAGACAATTGTTGGCAAATATCAGGTGATGATATTGATAATGTTTGTCAAGATAATTGTTAGCAAGTATCAGGCGACGAAGTACTTGGTCAAGGCAATTGTTGGCAAGAATCAAGTGATGATATTGTTTGTCAAGATAATTGTTGGCAAATATCAGGGGATGATGTTGTTTGTCAAGATAATTGTTGGCAAATATCAGGCGAAGACGTTGTTTGTCAAGATAATTGTTAGCAAGAATCAGGTGATGATATTGTTGGTCAATATAACGTTTTTCAAGATAGTTGTTGCTGATTTTATTTGTCAAGATATTTATTGGTATGCATCAGGAGGAGGTGATGATATTGTTTGTCAAGATAATTGGAGGGCAAGCATCAGGTGATGATATTGTTTGTCAGGATAGTTGTTGGAAAATATCAGGTGATGGTATTGGATGTCCAGTTAATTTTGGCAAGTATCAAGTGATGATTAATGTTTTTCAAGCTGGTCATTAGCAAGTATCTGGTGATGATAATGTTTGTCAGGATAATTGTTTGCATGCATGTATCAGGCAGTGACGTTGTTTGTCAGAATAATTCTTGGCAGGTATCATGTGATTAATTTTTTTTTGTCTTGATGCGTTTTGGAAAGCAATTCGCTCCGGTGAAATGAAATGATTGTTGGCAAGTATATAATATGCTTAATCACAGTAGTGACTTAAAATGATATTTCTTACCAGCTGTTTATCTATATTACTTTTCTCAGTAATAGGTGTGGTCCATTTTGGATCAATTGCAAGATATCTTGCATTTTAATTTCGGAGAAATGTTAAGGTTAATTGCAATGGAAATCTCTCAAAACGATAACGCAAATATCAAATCATGGCTGGTATTCTTTAAAGGGAAGTTAATGATCAAATATTCTTTTGACTGATAAACAATCGGTAATGTTATCTGATTTTGAAAACAATCATTAAGAACTATAGGATGTTATTTACTAATGAAGTACTATGTAAGTCTTTAAAAATAATCTATACTGACTACTGTTAGACTATACTATACACTGTACTTTAATTGATATTGACGAGTTGTTTACAGTTGTGGATTTTATCTGTAAGATTCGATTAAGGTAACCCATGTTAACATACTAGCGACCTTGTACTTCTAATAGCCAACGGGATTTAGAAGCTACACAAAGCCTCTTTCCTTTCAAGCCATTGAGTTGTTTTCGATTAGTTTTTCCCAGTGGTATGACGTTTATGCACGCTACTGTAAAGTATCGTTTTGTTTACCTAAGGAGCTTTGTCATTGTTTAAAAGGGACTGAGTCGTGCAAAAGGGGAGTAACTCGTATCGATTATCGATTGGTTTCGAGATTATTTGAGGTTGTTGTTTTTGTCCCACCGAGTTGTTTCGGCACTCGGCTCATCGACTTGTCACTGTAAACATCAACATGTATTTTTAAATCCGAATAAATCTAATCGAACTTGAAACCATCGTTGAGTTTCATTCATGTTTTCTGAAGGCCCGGAGAACATTTGGTAGCAGAGCGTGGTTTTAAATCCAGATGAATTAAAAACCTTCTTTATTTTGGCCGAAGATGATGTGTACCATTCAACGGATTTTCGAGGCAGCCATTTTGTTCAGCATGTTTGTTTACAAAATGCTCAACTAGTTGGAGTGACTCGAATCCAATATGTCCGATGACGAAGGTACTGGAAGCCGGCTAAATACAGAAAACGTACAGCTTGGTGATGGGCCAAATCAACACAACGACAGCGATATTGGTGATGGTGAAAGACTGAAGTTATGGTTGAAAAGAAAGCGCATCGTAAAGAGCCAGCTTACTAAAGCCAGGTTAGCATTAACTGCATTATTATGCTCTAATGAATCACACGAAAAAATAAAAAACGCAGTTGGACATGTTCTAAATTGTCAGGAAGAAGCAATTGACATTCTTTTGGCCCTATGTGATATCGATGCTGACAAATTTGAGCCCGAACTTGAACTTATTCAATCTTATCCAGTTTTATCTGATATACTTAATAAGGCCTACACACTCCAGTTCAATGCAGATGACATTAGGTCCCCAACGAGCAGCGAGAGGGGAGCGAGCCCTAATCAACAAGATGCCAATTTGCAAGTTGACAAAGACATGTATCACCAATTAAAGCGTGTCACTATTCCAAAATTTAACGGTAACAAATTGGAGTATCAGATTTTCATGGATGCCTTTAAGCAGTGTATCGATCAGGCAAAATGCTCAGATGGTTACAAAATGTTACAACTTCGTCAATATCTTGAAGGTGACGCTTACAAGGCAATAGAATGATTCCCTGCTTCCACGATTGGTTACGAATCAGCTAAAAGGCGTCTCGAAGAAAAATTCGGTGGTTCTAGGCGTCTGATATTAACTCAAATTAACTCTATTAAAAATATGAAACCAGTTAATTTTCGGGATGTTAAACTTGTTGAGAAATTCTGTGATCAGCTTGAACTGGCAATAATTACTCTTAAGGAGGCTGGACGTACAGAAGAATTTGAAGAAAACTCCATGTTTTATAGTATCGCTCGATCAAAATTACCTGCCGTAAGTGTTACACATTATAAACGTTGGGCCAGTGCTTCTGGCGTGCCTGAGAATTTAACGACCTTATTTAAATGGCTTTCAACTGAACTAAGATATCGCATTGAGGCCAGAGAAGAGGTCGAAGGGTTAACAATTAGAGCTGATAGAACAAGTCCCTTTCGCTACAAACCTAGGAACTTTTCTACGAACATACCTAAATATTGTGTATTGTGCCAAAAACACCATAGACTAACTGACTGTAATTACTTTCACTCTCTGTCCATTAACCAAAGATGGGAATGTGCCAAATCAAATAGACTTTGCTTCCGTTGTCTTGACAATTCCCATATTGGCTCGAAATGTCCTACGACACAAAAGTGTGGTGTCGATGGATGTAATAGGACTCACAGTCCACTCCTTCAAGTAGGGGGGTTTAGACCAGACTCTTATGTAAATGTTGATAGAAATGACAATCGTAGAAGTGAAGTTTAACCTTCCCCTCGAGTTCGCACACATATTGCAAATGGCAATGGTGATTATGTGGAAATGCGAATAGTGCTAGTCTTGCTAGTTAATGGGGACAGACAATTCGTTGAGCATGCCTTATTAGACGAATGTTCGACAGACACTTATATAGACTCTAGTTTAGCTTCAGAATTAGAATTAAGTGGTCCATTGTGCTCGCTTAATGTGGGTGTTTTAGGAGGTACAACAACCCCCATATCTACTAGTCGTGTCAAATTGCTTATTAAGACTGTTAATGTTTAGAAAACGTTATAATGTCGATGCATACACTGTAGACAATGTGACCGGTGACCTGACAGTCATCGATTGGAATAAGTACTCTCCGAATTGGCCACATTTGGACGGAAATGAATTCCCTCAAGTTGGACGTAATCCCCGTGTAAGAATCCTTCTTGGCCTTAATGTCCCTGAAGTCCATCGTTGTATTACTGAAGTTTATGGTAAACCTGGGGAACCCGTAGCCCGTCTGACGCCTCTTGGTTGGACATGTACTGGACCTTATGATCCCCTTATTACGCCTACCACGGGACAAAGTCACTTTGCAAGGGCATTTTTCGTTCAGGAAAACAGTGAAACAAACACACTTATTCGTAGGATGTGGGAGCTAGAAACTATGGGGGTCACATCGCCGCATACTGAAACCCATACTCCTATAGAGAAGACAATTGACTGTTCAGTTCGATCGACCATTGCCTTTCAAACCGATAGGTATAGCATTGGTTCCCTGGAAAACTGGCGAGCCCCAACTTGTTAACAACTATGACATGGCAAAATCAAGATTACTGAATCTGGAAACGTCCCTAATAAAACGACCCAATATTGGCGAAGCTTACAAACATTTGATTGATGACCATTTGGCAAAATCCTATGTGCAGGAAATAGTTCCACCAGAGCGACGTGCTGACAATATTTGGTATTTGCCCCATTTCCCAGTTATTAGGCCAGATAAGTCCACAACAAAAGTTCGTATAGTTATGGATGCCACAGCACGCTATAATCAGAAATCATTGAATGATTGCATTCATGCAGGTCCTAAATTGCAACGGGAGTTATTTGATGTATTAGTTCGCTTCCGTAGCGGAGCAGTCGCGATTGCAGCTGATATCACTGAAATGTTTTTACAAGTTGATATGACTCCATTTGATCGTAGATATCACAGATTTCTTTGGCGAGATTTAGACACAAATTCACCTATTCGAGAGTACGAATATCAAAGATTGGTTTTCGGAAACACTTCCTCCCCATACTTGTCACAGGCTGTTATAAGGGAACATGCACAGGCTAACATCGATCAATTTCCCCGGGGTGTAGATTCCGTCCTTAACTCAATGTATGTTGATGACTTGCTCGACAGTGCCGAGTCCACTTTTGCCGGAATCGAATTACGTCATGAGATTTCTTCCTTGCTGCAATGTGCAGGTTTTCAAATTCGAAAGTGGATCTGAAATGTCCCAGAAGTCTTGAGAGATATACCTCCCAGTGATCGTGCTACATCTCTGTTATTTAAAGATGGAGATCTTCCGTCTGTAAAACGTTAGGCATTTTATAGAACGCGAATTCGGACAACTTTGGTTTTCATGTAGTCTCCACCGACTACTATACTGACAAAGAGATTTGTTGTCAGTAAAACCGCTTCACTATTTGATCCACTTAACCTTTTGGCCACGTTCACGATTCGTGCTAAGATTGGAATTCAATCCTCGTGGTTAAGGGGCGTAAGTTGGGATGAAGAACTCCCTGCTGACCTCATTGGGCCATGGCTTTCTTGGTTTCAAGAATTATCAGAATTAAAATCGATCCAAATTAATCGTTGCCTTACTAATAATAACTTGTCCTCTTCTGATAAAACCTTGCACACCTTTGTAGATGCTTCAGAAAAGGCGTATGCCGCAGCTTGTTATCTTCGCAGAGTTTATGATGATTCGTCCATTTCTATTAACCTTGTTGCCTCTAAAACTAGGGTAGCTCCCTTGAAAACCATTTCTATACCTAAATTAGAGCTCTGTGGTGCTATTTTAGGCTTACGTCTTGCCCAAACTATCAAAAAGGTTTTGAATATTAACTCGGTCACATATTGGTTGGACTCAAAAAATGTATTATTTTGGATTCGGGGAGAGTCAAGGTCTTATAAGCCATTTGTTTCGCATCGTGTTGGTGAAATCCACGAAAATTCTAACCCTGGAAATTGGTATTATGTTCCCACAAAACAAAATTCTTCTGATTTGGCAACACGTGGATCATCAGTAAGCGAATTGTCAGGTAGTAATCTCTGGTCGAACGGACCGGACTATTTGTTGCAAGACTGTTCTTCTTGGCCAGTTGACAAGAACTGTTCTGAGGCCCTTGAGGAGATACGTAACACTGCTACTACACTACTGACCTCCACTGATTTTGGCATTTTGGACCCCAATAGATATTCTGACTGGCTCAGACTTGTACGTATAACAGGGTGGGTGAAGCGATTTGTGCACAATTGTAGAAATCGTGAAAAACTTAGTGATTCCTTTCTTACCTCAAAGGAAATTGAAATTTCGGAAAATTATTGGTTTCAATGTGCTCAGCAAGATGTGTTTCAATCGGAATTGTGAGTTAATAAAGGGTCGATGTGTCTCATCTAGCTCCAAATTATCAAATCTTAACCCATTCCGAATAGTGTGCTTCGTGTAAAAGGGAGATTGGAAAATGCAAACCACCTGTCATATTGTGCACGGTTTCCTATTATTTTACCACAAAAGCATCAAATAACCAATTTGTTAATTAATCATTATCACAAGTGTTTAAATCATGATAGTAGTGTGTCATTTGTGCTTTCGGAAATTCGCACTAAATTTTGGATCCTTCGTGCTCGGGCATTAGTGAAAAGTGTAAATCTAAAGTGTCCAATGTATATTAAGCGCAGAAGGAAGCCTGTTGAACAAATCATGGCTCCCCTTCCTCGTGTGCGTTTAGGCGAGCCTCTTCGAGCATTTGCGAGAGTTGGATTAGATTTTGGAGGGCCGTATTTAACAAAACAAGGAAGAGGAAAGACCCGGACCAAGAGATATTTGTGTCTCTTCACTTGTCTCGCAACTCGCGCTGTGCATCTCGAGATGGCTTGGAGCATGGATACAGATAGCTTTCTTTGTGCTCTTGACAGATTTGTGTCGCGAAGATCAAAACCACTGGAAATCGTATCGGATAATGGTTCGAATTTTGTGTGTGCCAATCATGAGTTAAAGGAGCTCATTAGTGTACTCGATCAAAATAAAATTGGAAATTGTTTGTTGAATAGAGGAATTAAATGGAGGTTCAATCCGCCACTTGCGCCTAATTTTGGTGGTGTTTTCGAAAGCATGATCAAGTTAGCAAAACGTGCTATTAAAGCTATTCTCCAAGATGCAGACATTTCGGATGAAGAACTCTTAACCGCGATCGTGGGTGCGGAAGGACTCTTAAATATTCGTCCCTTATGTTACATTGGTGATAGTGCGGACGATGATCCAGTCCTTACCCCTAGTCACTTTTTATGTTGACAGCTCGGTAATGCTTTAGCTCCGGAATTCGATGGTGCTGATTATGACCCTCGTAGACGCTGGCGTAGAATTCAGGACTTAATAGGACAATTTTGGCGTAGATGGATCCGTGAGTTTTTGCACTTAATAAGCGTAATAAATGGAACACTCCTAGTAAAAAATCTAGAGACCGGTGATGTTGTGCTCCTGATAGATCCTCAGTCACCGCGAGGAAAGTGGCCATTAGGACGTATAGTTAAAACCTACCCACGTAATGATGGACATGTACGCGTCGTTGATGTGAAAGTCAGAGACAATATTTTGAAGCGGCCTATCCACCGACTGTGCCCATTGGATGTATGATCTATTGTATATTATGTTGTGTATTTGTATGGTCACTTGATTTGTTGTTTTGGCACACTTTTCGTTATTTTGAAATATATTCGGAAAAAAAGAAAAAAATTATAGTTGTGCATAGAATAGGAAGTATAGTGCTCATTAATGCAGCAATTTAGTATAGCAGTATCGTATTGCATAGTTATAGTGCTAATTTAGCAAGACATCGACATCGTGTATATAGCTTAGACTTCGCATAGTATAGAATAGTTGCAATAGAAGTGGTTGCATAACACCGTTTATAGAGATAGTAATAGTAAATATAATAGCATTAAAAATGATAGTTATAGAAATAGACGTCGATATTTATATTTTATAGATTATTAGATGTTGTTAGTAGATAGCTTTATT